AAATATAATTAAAGATATAGGATACGCTATTTCTGTGGGAAGCGATAAAACGGGGAAGAACAAGGCCATTCCAAGGAAATGGATTTTCAACAGTAGTTAGTATTGGCATTTTCCTCTAGAATTTCATTTCTTAAAGCTATTTTTTTTATTAAGGGAAGTAAAATATGCCATTGCTTTACTTTTAGCAATGTAAAAAACTGCTAAAATTTTTTTACAAATTTTAAAATTTGTAAATTTTAAATTTTAAATTTATTATTATTAGTAGTAGTAATCATATCAATTCTTGATCCCAAATTCAGAGATCCTTTATCCTCTAAGCAAATTTAGACTAAGCGACTGTTACTAGAAAATTTTAAAAGATATATATTTAAATATAATTAAAGATATAGTATACGCTATATACCACTGCTTTACTTTTAGCATTTCTGAAAGAATTATGATGTACGAAAAGTCCTAATGAAAGACTGTATTAGTTGCTCTTGAATGGTAATCAAATTTCCTTTCCCCCCACAGTATTGTCCTTCTGTTAAATGATACTTTATATTTTATCAGGTATTTTGCAGCATCAGCATGTTGGTACAAATGTTATATTTACAACTTGCTCTTGCTATCTTCTTGGGAGTTGAAGTCTTCACCCAATTTCTTTTCAGGATGGTTATATTATATTATTACCAAAGATGCATTGTCTCACAGCCCAATGTTTAAAGCAGGGATAACAACATTTACTATAAAATATATGGTATGAATTAATAATGGCTAAGACATTTTTAAGACTTGACATACATACTAAATAGGAGTATCTTTTGATACACCTTAAATCTATTCTAACTTAAAAAAATTCACTTGATAAAGTTTTGTTCTTTAACGAAGATTCCTAAATTCAGTGGAATCTTTCACTGGAGATTTTTTTTTCCTTTAAAGATCTGGAAAGAAGCTTGTTAACTGATCTTTAAAGTCTTTTGTACTACAAAACTTAAGTTTTGACTTGATATTTGGCCGTGCTTAAATCTTAACCTTAATAGCCTATGCTCTTCTACCGTGAGGGATATGCTAAAATTAATTGCCAAAACAGAGTTAGCTGTACACAGTATAGGTGTGAGTGAGGTAGGATTGATTGCCATCTCCTTTGCCCCAGGCAGAAGGATTCCTAGAACTAGGACTTAACTTTCATTGCTCATGTCTGTGGAATTCACTTTTTCTATTTTGCCAAAATATAGTAAAACAAGGTGTACAGTTTTCTTTCTTTCTGCAACTGTTTTTAAGTGAAGGTACTATTCTCATTCTTACTCTCATTCATAACACGTGAAAATCAAGTTTAATTTTGTAGTAGTGCCTGTTAGTCATGTGAGCTCTGTGCAACTTCTCCGTTTACACAGCTTCACACATCACTCACAGGACAAGTTCCCACAAAGACCTGTTTTGTTCTGTCGATCCACCCTAAATAAACCCGTTTCAAAACTATGTGCAGCTTTGTAAATCAAGATGAACTGGTCAGAAATTGGATACAGAAACAAAAGAGAAACGAAAGAATGCTTCCTAGCGAACAAGCAGTGTTATATATAATAAAATTGCAGGTAATGAAATGTTCTGCATTCTAAGAATATTCTAATTAGAACGATTTATATCATATTCATATTGTAATCATAGGTCAAGTAATTAGCTTGTTTCCATTATTAGAGTTATGAAAATATATAATTAATGCTTTAATAAAATATTCTAGTCAACAGAGGGCAGTGAGAACAAATGATGAAATGTGAACTTTAGTTCTGAGTATTTCATAGTAAGCCTCGTATGAGATAACTAAGTACCAAAGTTGATAAGAAGAGGAATTTTATATTAGTCACAGATTTCCTTCTTTCTGGCAACAGTTAGCAGACCACTGTAAGGACTTAGAGTGGCATGCAGAATGTATTTTCCCTGGGACTCTCCGTCTAGGTCAAGAAAAAAAAAGGAATGCTTATACACAATGCATACGTAACAAAATTGTATTTTTCACCAGAGTTAAATTCAAGCATAATATATCCAACAGTTTAATTTATGATGTTTGAAAATACCCTTGAAATATTTCTGTTTGAATAAATGTTTGTCAGATTATTTTGCCTTCTTGTTTAGAATTCTAAAGAATACCAAGCACTATTCAAAGTTTTGTTTCAGGCCATCTCTAACATTGTGCTTTTAACCCGGATTCAAATAACCTTCCAAAGAATCTGCATCTTTTGTGATGCTTTTTTTTTTTCCTCATGAGAAATAAAGGGAAACAAAGGAAGCAAAGAAAACTTAAAATGGCCTATACTCATTATAACAACAATAGGCAAAGACCCACAGGCAAGTAAGTTAGAGAATTCTCAGAGTACTTAGTGAAAATATTTAATTTACGTCCTGAATCAAATGAATATGTTATAAAATATAAACTATTGTGGAGAACATATGACACATTTAAAAATTTCCCATTCTATTTAATTCCCAGCACATTTTGGGAAGAAAATTACAATAAAAAGGCCGGTCCCCCCACCTCCCACAAAAGCCCTTTTCCCCACCACAGATATTCATGTGCACATATTTCTGTTTTGAAGAAACATTAGCAAGGTAATTATTCTAAACATTTTTCTTTACATGAGAATACAAAAGGATTGAATTGAATAATTAAATGCCTTCTTGCTTGCAGCTGCTTCTCCCTGGTACGCCTTTCTCAAGTTTCATAGTCTTTGCCCTCCCCCACAGACGCACAATTCAAGGCTGTCTAATTTCTAAGTTTAATTTCTCATTTCTCAATGGTAAGATTTGAATTTTCAGAAGAGTAGTCTTAAAATATGAATTAGTTCTTTATTATTACATTTTTATTGAGATATGACTTACATACAGGAAAATGCACTTTTCTAAAGTGTACAGTTTGAGTTTTAACATGCACACATCAGAACCAGTGGTGAGGACTTGTTCAAAATACTCCTGCCTGGAGTTTTAAAATTTCTTAGCTGCACCAGTTTAGAATTTTTGTTTTTGTAAAGAACCAAATTGAGTAATGTATGTAAAAGTATCATTTTAATGATATTTAAAAAATATGTTTTTTAAAAGACAAATTTCTCATTTGACTTTTTGTGTGTGTTATATAATTTTAAAAACATTTCTTAGGGCCGGGCCAAGTGGTGTGTTGGTTAAGAACTGGCTTGGGATGCTAGAGGGCCCCGGTTCGGATCCCACATATGAGGGCCAGTGACACTGCCCTCTGCAGCTAAGATGGTGAACGGCAGCTCTACCTGGGGCTGGAGTGCTGTGCGTCACCGGCGACGGCATAGGCTGCAGCTCCCTGCTGCAGTGGACTGCCATAAGCTACCATGTGTAGCCAACAGCCAGCAGCCGCCTGTGAGTGGCCGTCCAGAGGCTGGCGACTGATCTGCCTCACCCGGGAAGAGTGCAATGACGGTGCCAGCCTGGGCCAGTAAAAGCAACATCCTCCACAACTAGACTGAAGAACAAAACAACAGCAACTTGTCTGTTCCCCTTCCCCCAATTCCCCAGTGCTGTTCCCCTCTCCCAATTCCCCAATAAAATCTTTAAAAAAAATTTTTATGTTTCAATTACAGTTGACATACAATATTATATTAGCTTCAGATGTACGACATAGTGGCTAGACTTTTATAGAACTTACTAAGCGATCACCTTGATAAATCTAGTACCCCTCTGATACCATATATATTATAGTTATTACAATATTTTTGGCTGTATTTCTTATGCTGTACTTTACATCTGCATGACTATTTTGTAACTACCAATTTGTATTTCTTAATCCTTTTGCCTTTTTCACCCATTCCCCAAATCCACTCCCATCTGGCAATCATCAAAATGTTCTCTGTATCTATGAGTTTGTTTTTGTTTTGTTTGTTTATTCTTTATATTCCACATATAAGTGAAATCATATGGCATTTGTGTTTCTCTGTCTGACTTACTCCACTCAACACAATACCCTCCAGGTCTATCCATATTGTTGCCGATGGCAAGATTTTATTGTTTTTCATGGCTAAGTAACATTCCATTGTATATATGTACCACCTCTTCTTTATTCATTCACCATTTGATGGACACCCAGGTTGCTTCCATATCTTGGCTATTATAAATAATGCTGCAATGAACATATGGATGCACATATCTCTTTGAAGTAGTGTTTTGGGCTTCTTCAGATAAATACTTAGAGTTGGGATTACTAGGTCCTTCTGGGTCTCTTTTTAATAGCTTTTGCTTAAAAGTCTGTTTTGTCTGGTATAAGTATTGCTACTCCAACTTTTTTAGTTTTCATTTGTATTTTCATGAAGTATCTTTTTCCATCCCTTACTTTCAGTCTGTGTGTGCCTTGCTATCTGAAGTGAGTCTCTTATAGGCAGCATATGTAAGGTCCTGTTTTCTTATCCATCTATCCACCTTATGTCTTTTTAATTTAATTTAATTTAATCCGTTACATTGAAAGTAATTTTTGGTAGATATGTAGTTACTGCCATTTTATTATTCATGTTTTTTATCATTTTTTCTTCTTAAAGAAGTCCTTCTAACATTCCTTGTAATACTGGTTTGCTGGTGATGAACTCCTTTAGCTATTTCTTGTCTGGGAAGCTCTTCATCTGTCCTTTTGATTCTAAATGATAGCTTTGCTGGGTAGAGTAATTTTGATTGCAGGTCCTTGTTTTTCATCACTGTGAATATTTCCTGCCAATCCTTTCTGGCCTGCAAAGTTTCTGTTGAGAAATCAGCTGACAGTTTTATGGGAGCTACCTTGTAGGCCTTCTTCTGTATATCCTTAGTTGTAGGACTTCCATTCAGCTAGACTTCAGGTGATTCTCAATGATGGTTATTCTGTAGTTTAGTTGTAATATTGATGTGGTATGAGGATGCAAGCACAGCGTTTACCTACTTTGCCGCTTGATCACATATCCTCTCGTGCCTTTTTCATGAGGTTTGCAATGTTGGGTCACAGGTGAAATTCTCAATTTGTTTTTCTGTTTGTTTTTAAGAAAATTAATGCAAAACTTCATGATGGAGTATGTCAGCGCTGTAAAGAAGTTCTTGAATGGCGTGTGAAGTACAGCAAATACAAACCGTTATCAAAGCCTAAAAAATGGTGAGTTAAGTTTCTTCATTACCATACCAGTATTATATGTATTGTAATTTATTATTTCATTACCCCATTTTCAAAATTTTTTCCTAATAAATATTAAGGTAAAGAGAGAAAAATTCCATTCTCCCATGTAGAAATTCATCTTACATGCTAAATTCTGGATTGTGAAGGCAAATAGATTGAAAACGTGGATTCATCATTCCCTGTCTCATTTTTCCGTAAATAAATAAAGCACCATTTTTATAGAATCTTGTTCATAAAAGGTGGGTTAGAGAGGAAGAAATTTGTTTTGCAAAAGTCTACCTCCCACTGATGAGGCAACAATACGAGTACAAGTGGACACTTTGGTCAACATTGCTCAAGTAGTAGTTCCATCATCAAAAGTGTCTGGATGCTGATGGTAACCACTTTGAGCACCTTTTGTAATTGCAGAAGTCAAACATGACTTGTGTTCATTTTTTGTTATTGGTATATATTGAGTATTACAATCAATACAGATTTTTCCTTTCTTAAAATGTATATACCTTTTTTTTGGCACCCTTTGTGTATACAATGGAATATTATTTAGCCTTAAAAAGGAGGGGAATTCTGTCATCTGCTACAATATGGATGAACCTTTAAGACATTATGTTTAGTGAAATAAGCCAGTCACAAAAAGACAAATACTGTATGATTCCATTTATATGAGGTTGTCTAAAGTAGTCAAACTCATAACAATAGAAAGTAGAATGGTGGTTACCAAGGGCCAGGAGGAAGGAGACGAGGGGAGTTGTTGTTTCATAGGTATAGAGTTTCAAACTTGTGAGATGAAAGAGTTCTGGAGATCTATTGTACAATAATGTGAAAGCGCTTAACACTACTGAACTGGATGACTTAAATGGTTAAAATGGTAGTTTATGTTATGTTTTGTACCATCACCACGAAGATAGATAGATAGATAGATAGATAGATAGATAGATAGATAGATAGATAGATAGATAGATGACTTTGAAAAATGGGGTTGGTCTATAAAAGATTATCTTGAAGATCTTCTTTGGCTAATTTGGCTAGTAAAAACTTTGTAGTAAAGAGAAAGTGCACACTTGGTGATCTATGAACATTAATCAGTGTAGCCTGTGGAAAAGATTTTCTCTATGCTTTGAATATACATTTAATAAAGAGAAAACAAGAATGAGAATTTTGGTTTTGTGGTTGAATATCTATACTTAAAATGGGTTGATCATTATTTTGTTTTTGTTCTTTTATCAAAAAAAGGTAAACATTGTTATATCCTATAATATTCTCAGTATCCTCCATGTTTACCAGTGTATGACAATGAACTATAGAGTTTTGCCTCTTTTGTTATAATAGGCCAAATCTCTGATGGTTAATCAGCCATGTGCGAATGATGTCACCACATTCCAGCAGTATTGAAATGTCATAGAGTGGAGTTTCAGTCACAGGTTGCTCTTCTCATCATATTGTGGTGTATGGTAACTGATAACCCTGGCTTTATTCTTGTCCAGAACGTTGGTCTTTAATATTTAAAGGTAAAAGTGGAGTTTTCATTACTTTCATTAATTGTTTGCCAGTGCATGAAGCCTACTTTTTGACATTAATATTGATTGATACAGCAAGCTTTGACTTAAAATTGCCTCCCCGAAAGTGTAATGATTATAATTTTCTCTTTTTTTTCTAAAGTACTCTTGGTCGGGGGTAAGTATTTTACACTCTTTCAAGAATATTTCTAATCAAATCTACTGCAGTAAGAAGAGGTAGTGCGATCTCTCTACTTATTTTCAAACACATCATTTAGGCACACAGGGAAATAAATGAATTGTAGCTTCTGCTCAAAGTTCTCGGAATTTGGGGACATTTTTTCCTTAAAAGCATTTTCTAAGTAGCATATGATGTAATTCCTTAGTATAGTTTCGGAATCTTTCTGTGTTAGTACAGATTACTTAGGGCCACTGGAGGAAATGTGACTTTATGGGACTCTGTCGATGTGGAGTTTCTATTATTTGTACACCAAGGGTGGAGTACTACATGCACTGTTTACGAAAGCACCTAGTCATCGCCTGTGGGTGAGTATTACAAGTGGAGCTGAATTATGATAAAGGTTAAAGTGTAATAATATAACCAGGAAATGAAGACACTGCCAGAAAAGTTGGCAGAGTAAAATAAGCCTTTTACTTCTAGTCAATACTAGAAATACAAGATAAGTTCTTTTCCCCATTGGTATGTATTGTCTAGATTACTTTGTTCTCAGGACCCTTTTACACTCTTAAATATTACTGAGGACCCCAGAGAGCTTGGTTTATTACATGGGTTATATCTATTGATATTTATTGTATTATCTATGAAAACAGACATTTAAAAAATAATTATTTAATAAATAATATGAATATAAATAACATTCCAATTAAATGTTAATAACGTTTTATGGAAAATAACTTTTGAAACAAGTATTAGTGAGAAAAATGGCATTGTTTTGCATGTTTACAAATTTCTTTAGTGTCCAGATAGTAAAAGGAAAAGGAAGGTAAATTTTAAAAGGAGTAAATGTAAATTTTAAAAGCCTTTTCCAGATTATTGTAGAAATTCATTTTTGATACTATACCACATCTCAACAAGTGGCAATTTCCTAAAGGTTAGTTACAATGTAGAATCTGAAAGTACATCAATGAACACTTTACGCTTTTACACTAAATTGGTCTTTCTTATACTTTCAGATGATTTTGTAACATCATGCATTTGTTCATTTGGAAAATACTAGTTCACTGAGTTATACAGATCTTCCAAATGTTGATATGTCTTATTATACAATATAAAAAATCATGTTAGTATCACAATGATGTCATTAAAGTATATGTGGAATTTTTATTTTTGATTTTTTAGCTATGAGTTTGTGGAGGTGACGAATACAGTGATAACTAGTACAATTAGGTGCCACTGTCTTTGTTCATGCTAAGGTGCCAGTACTTTTATATCCATTATAAGAATGACACTCAAAGAAGTTAAAGTGGGGCCGGCTGAGTGGCTCAGTTGGTTAAGAGTTAGTTTAGGAACACGAGCTCTGAGCAACAGGGCCGCCGGTTTGATTCCCACATGTGCCAGTGATGCTGCACCCGAGCTGAGCAGCCAACAGGTGGCAGGATTGCTCAGCTGGCGAGAGCACGTGCTCCTAACAACAAGACTACCTGCTTGATGGTGGGCTACACCCGCCCGCAACTAAGACTGAACTCAGGCACCTTGAGCTGAGCTGCCACCCGGATGGCTCAGTGGATACAGCGTGCGCTTTTAACAACAAAGCTGCTGGTTTGACTCCCGCATGGGATGGTGGCTATGCCCACCCACAACTAAGATTGTAACACAGCACCTTGAGCTTAGAGGCCATGAGCTGCCGACAGACAGCCAGAGGACAACAGGTAGCCTCCACAACTAAGATTGAGGAACAACAGCTTGGCTGGTCCCCTTCCCCAATTCCCCAATTAAAAAAAAAAAAATGTAAACTGTTAAAAAAGTTAAAGTGACTTTCAAAGATTATATAGCAAGAACATGTCTAAGCTAGGCTAGAATCTAGGTCTTCTATTTCCCAAATCAGTGCTATTTTCAAAATAATATTTTCTAGTATTTACAATGGTCCATTGAAAATTTAAATTTTGTCCCTGATTTTTATCCTTAAATATGGTAACATTTTTAAAAAGTGTAGTACTGTCTCCTTTGTTAGTAAACATGGTTTGCAGGCGTGACCTGTGTTATTTGACCACAGTTTCCACTAAAGTGATTAGTGGTATATGAATAGTCAAGATTTGTAGATTATTCCTAGGAATTATATTCCATGGAGAAATGAAAAGAAGGCAAAACCATCATTATTTTAGCACCTCTGAAATTTTCTTAGCAATGTACTCATAACATTTTCAAGATATATCCATTTTCAAGGGAAATTAGGTAAAGTTTATATTTACATGAATTTAAAGTTTTCCTTACTATGCATTTTGGAAAAAAAAGACAGTAGTGATTAAATAATTTACAGTTATTTAAAAAGATGTTTCGGTATAATTATTTAAAAAGATGTTTCGGTATAGTTCACAAGTTTTATGAAAACTTTGAATGCATATCTCATATCATTAAAATAACATCTAAACCAGTGCATCCTTAAGATCAGCATTCTTTGGTTAGATAAATGTATTACTGAGGTGAAAAAAATCTAGAAATTCAATTACTTTCAGGCCTCTCATTTACCCCTAATGAGGATGTAAAGCATGGATTAAGAGTTTTGAAAGAGAAGGCCCACAAAGGTCGCACTCTGTGACAGAGAAACTGAAAGGTGGTAAACGTTTAAAAAATTTTATAGCTTACATTTTTACACATTTATAAAAAGGAAACAAGTCATTTAAAAATGTGTTTGTATCTTCTTATAAATAGGTATATTTATATTCACAGAGATACTAGCCTAATAAAACTAACTTTTTCAGAATGAATTTAAATTTCAAAAGAGCGTAATTGCTTTCAGCAATAGAATTCTTGCTCTTCTCGAAATTGGCCATTCCAGTCTCAACCAGCAACGGAACACTGGAAATCCCCCACCAGGCAGTATTACTTTGATCTGCTCAAGATTTCTCATGTGGTAATGTGCATAAGAATGCCTTGAAGAGTTTGTTTAATTGACAGATTCTTCGGACCTATCCTCAAGATTGATTACTGGTGATGCCATGAATCTGCATTTTAATAAACTATGCAGGTGTTGAGGCAGTGTTAAGAGTCACTGTTTTGGGGACAAGCTGGGCTAGAGAATGTAGAATCTGTGATCTTTTGACTTGAAATTCTTAAGCATGATATCCCACTTTTAAACTTTTTTTGCATGTAAATTTTATCATTAACAGTTGCGTAAATACAGTTTTACCCTTTAATTAGCAGTTTTGAATACTTAAGGATTGGTTTACCCCAGGATTCCCTGGTATGAAACTATAAATATATATTCTAATTTTTTGAAGCCTCAGAAGAACCTAATCAAGACAGAC